GCACTGCTGATGAGACCCAACCAGGTTAAAACAGCTGTCCAGTGCGTCCTAGCTTTTCAGTCCGCGCTTCATCTACCGTAATCACGACGATTTTCCGCCTTGACAAATGACATATTTTAAGGTGAAAACTAATGAAGAAATAAAAATGGGCATTAGAAATGACTGCAATTTTAGGTTGCATGCATCGGTTTTATAGTCAAATCGTTATGATTTCATAACTCGGTAGATATTCGGGATCAATATACGTACGCTTGACGTAACAAGTGTGTTATAATAAACAGGTTTGGCAGCATGAACTGATTCAGGGTGAAGTGTAATGGATTCATGGTTAGTCTTTATGAGCAAAAAGTACTTATATCACATAACTGCTCATAGTAGTTAAACTTTCAAAATCACATTTGAATTTTATTGGACAATTCAGCCTTGGAAACGCAAATTGTGGAAATGCATGACACTTATCGCACCGCTGAAGTCAGAAACTAGGTCATTTCCCTTGGTAATTTTCCTCATATGTTGATCAATTCAGACAGCGGATATGAGTCTGTCATAAAAATATAACTTGCAGGGGAAAATTTCAAAGTTATTTGGGAGCTGGTCTCATACCATGCTTTGATTTCTTTGAAGGTGGCCATACTCGCTGTTAATCCGGGTTGCTTAAGTTTCGCATCGCTTACAACGAGTTATTGCACGGGCACTGGTTCAGGTATTTAATACTCAGAGGCTGCTCTCGCCCAGTCAAAGCAAATTTTCATTATAACTAAATGAAACAGGTGTTGCGAAGTTATTTATTCCACTTAGTAATGAGATATAATCTTGAAAGGAACAGTTTCATGAGTTAATCTGTTCTAATAAAGCACCGAACGAAGGATAACATTTGGTGTTTTAAAATGAGAGCAGTGACTTTAGAGAAAATCACGGCTACACAATGAAGATAGTTGCTCAAAATATCTTACGTTTTCCAGGAGCATCTATAGACGAAGGTGATTTACTGAAACACAATACCATATCATAGGTAATCACACGAGGAGAGTCATAATGCATCTGCAGTCCAATAAGCACCCTATAGTGTGTCATTAATTGGTTCTCCCATGAAGCAACTTTGATCCGCTTTTTGCGAAAGCTTCCAATGTCATCTGCCGCTCAGCTCGGTCCGCGCATCATTTGTTTCAGTGTTTAATTTAAATAAAGAGGTGTTTGCGTAGATAGGTTTGTGATGATCCTAGCCTACGGATGACGAACACCACGGAGCAACGCGTTACAGTTCCTGGACAACTGCGGTGAATCAACCTTCCCAGGTGACGCCAGCAAAGCGCCTACGCGTCGCAGCTTCTGGTCAACGAACCACGGGCCGATCGTGCCGACCAATCAGAAGCCGTGCGGTTCAGACAAAACCTGTATGACGTCAAGAATACGAGCACGCGAATGGGGGATACCTGGTTAACCAATAAACTTCTTTTATACATGTTACGTAATCCCATCGATTTCTTCCAATAAACGAACTGCAAACTCTGGCTTTTTACTCGCGTCTCGATTAAGTAGGATACCAGTGTGCAAGTGCCAGTGCGATCCAGTGTTTCCGTGGTGTCTGTGATTCCTGATTCGTGATCTGTGACTACTTCAACTATTACAGTTTTTTTTTCTTTATACGTTTCTTATCTCTTTCGGGTCTTCATCGATAAAGAGTCTATCCACAAGCACCAGGCATCATTGAGAGCCTTGGTGTTGTTTTCACTCTTTGGGAGATCGTTACCTCCTCGAATTCAAGTATTCAGTGCAATCACATTTATAGGTTTTCGAAGATCACCTCTGTTCAGTGCATACAAGTACATCTTGCCCCATCTTGTCTCACCATACCGTCATTCAAATCAAATCCGAATTTATTGGTTGTATAACAACCAGCTTCCTCCTATCACTATCACGCACATGCACACTGTAATGCAGAATCCATGGAAGATTAGATTAAAGTTCCTACGCTGTTAGTGGGAAACGAGTCTAAGATCAACAATATTTTAAAACGAAACACACTCGTACAATTTTTCGATATCACGACATTTCAAAGCCCCCCTCCACACACACACCATGACAGCACCGAACAATTTTCGTAACCAATGTCCAGCCTTTTGGCAGCGTCTGCACGAGAAGCCCGATGAAGAAGTTACCCGCCTTTATGAAACAAGTATTCAATCATTTGGCAAGCGTCTATTTCTCAATCCTTTTTGATACGCACTCTTAAAATATACTGTACCGCCTACATATTTCGCTCCATTGTTGACAGGTATTCAGAACTGGATTCCATATTTGTTCTGTTTGTTGGGTAAAACATGTTATATTCTGTTTTCTGCTTTAAGTCATTCGTCAACCTTATGTGAATAGGTTGTCATATACGTCACTACCATACTCAAAGTGTGGATTTGGATTTGCTAGATCGCACCTGTCATCAAAACGAAGATTACTCTTTGACTCAGGGATGTTTCGAACAAGGCTACCCAAAATTTGCTGCCTCCCGAGATAATCGTTTCAAAAAGAGGCTCACAATGGTCACAGACATGCTGAAGATCAATAAAGGACTCCAAATGTTCTGAAGAAGTTACGAATCCAGCGTAATTCAAATGGAGTTTTATGATTCGTAACATAGATCCAGTGGCCAATCGGGAATATGCATTATACGTAAAGTAAATGCGTTTCTAAAGCAGAAGGTGCCAGCGACAGGCACAAATTTTGTCACATTGTTATGTTATCAATATTGGTCAAAAATCTTGTGAAAAACGAAAATGTCATGAAAATTTATAAACTCTAAACAGATCAAAACTGCAAAAACGATTGTCTAATACTCCAAATGGTAACATTCAAAATTTGGTTTCGGAAATCACTTTTATTAACTCTGTTATCTTGTTTGAGCACATTAAGCACATGGGGTCTTCATTCTGATCACAACGATGAACTTATTTATTTGTTGGATGTGACGTATGATAAGTAATCATTGATCATAGTAAATCCTTCGGTTTCGTTTTTTTCCACCCATCAGAACGATATCTATGATCGGATTGAATCAGCCATGAAGGAACTATCCACAATCGCTTGTCTTGTAAACAATGTGGGAATATTCTATCCCGACTCAATTCCCCCGTGGCCAGAGAGTTCCCAAGTTAGTTTCGAGTTTATCAGTCGTATTGCACATTGCAATATGGTCTCCACGGCCTCAATGACTCGAATTGTTGTACGACGAATGCTCACTCAGCGTCCTTTTGGGCCAGCCNATTTCATCCCAGTTCCCGATGCCGTATTTGTCGCTGTATTGTTCTACAAAAGCTTTCATCCTGTCTTTTACCGAGGCCCTGAGAGAGGAGTTGGCTGACACATCGATTGTGATTCAAGCCGTCTGTCCTTCCCTCGTCGCTACAGGTATGTCCCAAAAAAAACCGTCCCGAAGGATCCCAGACCCGACCACGTTTGCTCAGTCCGCATTGGATATGCTTGGTGTGGAATCGGTTACATCAGGCTTTATTTATCACGCTGTTATGCGCGAAATAATGACTCGGTTGCCGTTGAACAAAATCAAACAGATGGTTCGGAAGACAATGGAGAAGAGAGAAAATAAGTCAAAAATTTGTCACTCTTAAAACCTGTTCCCTGAATAAATTTTAAATGTTTGGAATCCATTTAATACATATTTTCATCGAAACGTTTGTCATTCTTTTATCTCATGTTCAAAGTGAAAAGGCATTCTTAAAATGGATCTCTAGTGCTTTCAGTTTATTACCCTCTAACATCCTGCCGGCAAGAAAATAACAGTATAATTCGACAGACTCGAACAACTGGTTATTTAGTAACTTGCCAGCAGCCTCAGCCCTTGAAGCAAACTGTAAAAATAAAGCAAATGTCATTCTACTCATGACACACTCATTTTATGTTGGTTAAGTTCAGTATCAATCCCAATTATTTGGGCAAACATTTGCAAAAATGAAAGCGACAAATCAGATGCAAAAGATTGTGTTTTCACCAGTTTTGCGTTTTTTAAATGAAATCGCAACATAAGTGAATGTTGTCTCTTGTGAATAAACATATCTTAGTTTAAAACTATAACGATATTTGTTCCGGATCTCACACCCTCCTGACTTTGAGTGTACTAGAATTAAACAGAACGGGGTAAGTAACAGTACCACTGTCCACATCAGTTAAGTGGATAATGGTTCGATTTATCCTTTGTTTGTAATGGCTTTCGAATTGCATCGCACAGCTTCTTCTTCATTTTTGAGGTTCATTTGTAGTCCCTCTTTTGTGTGTTTCTTTCTCTGCATTCACCAAGCCTATCGATGTGGATGCTGAAGCTGGGAAACAGCGAACAGTTGGTTGAACCTAGTTGGGTCTCATCAACAGTGAAAATACATCGATTCAATTTATGGTCAAACCGGAGACTTCACCGGTAGAACGCATAAGTGCCATCTATCGGACCCGCGGGTAGCTGATCAGACCGTTTTTCATTTGGCCCATACGCGGTATAGCACAACCGATTTTCGTGACCCTAAATCAGGCAGCATACAGCGCACGTCTAAGCAGTGGTCTCTGACGTTATGACTGGTTTTTAAACATTACTAACTTGAATACTTGTTATATGGGAGATGGACTGTGCTATGCCTTGCATAGGCAATATGCTAAATGGTCTGATTCGCTACCCGGGGCCAAGCAATGGTACGCTTGCGTTTAACCTTTGAGGTCCTCTGTTCGATCCATAGTTGGGTTGATGAATTCGCGCTGCTGTATAGGACTTTCCGGTCTTTCAATTCAAGCCCAACTTTTCTCTGCACACGACAATTCACCACAAACAACATTAACGAAAACCGATATCAATGATATCGTTGATGCACCCCATATGCACAATGAAAATAAGGAGGTTTCATATAATTGGTCAGTGTCAACTTATGGATGACGTAGCTCTCAAAGCATGTAGTGTAGAGTTACCATGGCGTATCAGATGTATTTAATGGGTCCTGCAGTTGACAAATATAGTTCAAACATTTGATTCACCTTACTTCTACCAGATTCCGCAGTTGAAAATGGTATTAATTCTCCTTTAGAACTTTAGGGATCTTTTCCAAAATCGCACACTGCTGCACTATGTGAAAATATGAGTGATAGGTTTCTGATATAAACGTGAACGGAGAGAGCTACGAACTCTACTTCCGTAAATTATTCGCTGTCTTGTCACAGCTTTACCAAAGCAAAGCAAGAATTGCGAGTAATTTTTTCTGCTTGCACAAATTGGGCTTCCAATGCTTGATAGTGAGCACCGCTGTAAACTGAGGGTAGACCTATAGTTCGGTGCGAAGATAAGAGCTCCTGCATTCGGTGATCAACTTTGCTTGAAATCAATTCTGTACTTAAAAGCGAACGATCAATGACACTCAGTTTCATGTGGGATTGGCCTTTGACTTTGGCCATCCGACTGTGAATGATGTCCGTAGCTCTTTATTGATTGACTCACACGAATATGCGCTCCGCTGAATATTTTCTAATATCCCGCTTGATTTCTTTCGATTTGGTGAACGAGTAACTACAGGCGAGCAGATAAATAACAGTGCATAATAAAGGCATTTTTTAGCCCACCCATTTTTCCACAAAGTTTCGCAAACTACTAAACGTGGGATCATGAAATATTGCAGTTTGCGTTGTTCTATTACCGTGATGAGCTCATAAACATAGTCGAACTGTCACTTATACCGGAATGACATATCTGACTGATGCAAAATGCGTTTGATGCACCAGCTCACTGTGTGATGCCAGCAATAAACTGCAGTAACTAAGTACAATCATCTCTATTGCGTGGGGTTGAAAATACTACTTATGTAAACTTATTCCTTTCAGATTTCATCATTTCAGACTAGAACTTCTGTTACTCAGTAGGAATACTACGCAAGCAGTTCTTGTACAACATAGGAGATCTTTCCATCGCCACAAGCTCGCCTCTCCAGCAAACTTCATATCTTTCAAAAATTCGAGTCAGGAATGCAAGTGGGTCATACAACAGTTTTAATGTTTATTACACTTACTGTTCACGGCAAACGCGAAAATTCATTTGAACTAACCTGTTCATATTTTAAGTATCCAATATTTGGTTGAAAGCAGCAAGTAGAATTTGCTTTTAGATCTTCCTACGTTTTTCCTCTTATTTTCATATGAAAACAACTTGGTTCAAAACATTGCAGATTACATTCATTGATCTGCGAATCATTTTGACAATCTTGTTTATGCTTACTCCGTAGACTTCGAAGGTAAGTGTATTTGTCTCCGTTTCAACTGATATAGTATTCAAAAGTGTACCATTCACCTGTTTCCGTAGACAAAATGTTTGATCTTGCAATTTGACCACATCGATAACTTGAGCTTTGTCCACAAACTCATTGGTGGCTGCGATTTAATAGTTGAGATGATAAAAATAGCGAATTGTATGCGCTGAGTTTGAATCTCGCCACAGCATCTATCTTTTCCACTTCTGTCAATCCCCAGGCAGGCTTATATTGCCGCAATCCCCTTCTGAAAGTAGAATGTACATTTGTAGACTAAATGAATAGAAAGAAGTAGAATATTTCGTTATTTTAAAGTTTATTTCGGTCTACGAATTCAAAGTATGAATGGAACAAATCGTACGAGCGCCATATTTTATGATCCTACTTAGAGGCAGTTGGGAAGAACCGCAATAGAAGTGGAGTGCGACAAATACATTTTGTGCACCAGCATGAGTGAATCCATCGTGGAAAGAGTTGTCTGGTTGGGAAGCCGGCACTCTATAGCAGAGGTGGACTTGGGTTAAATGGACCATATCTTACTCTCATTGGACAAAAAGAAGGTAAAATTCTAACCATTAGTCTTCATAGTACCTCCTTAACAAAACTCACTAAAGAAGTTCGCGCTTTGATGAGCTTGTCTGTCGCAATACACTCGGGCATGGAATGTTTTATCCGTTTTATCCGTTATCCGAGGATAAACGTTTGCGTCGTTTTGTCCCCACAGTGTGCAAAGTTTCTTTCCACTGTAATAAAGTGCTTTTCTAGGCTTTGGTGCATCGCCAAAGGGAGACCTAACTGATGAAGTCATGATTTTCACCAGTGCTTTAGCAGTTCCGATAAATGGATTGTTCAGCGCTTCTACCGGTTCTTAAAAGCACTTTTACACCCGGGGGAGACAAAGTGTCATTTTTCCAAGTTCAGTAGCTCGAATTTGTGTTTGAGTGGGTGCTGATGAGACCATTAAATCGCCCCGTCGCTTCCAAATTCAGCTTGTTATAGAAAAACGTAGTTCAAGTGCAGCTTGTACCAAAAGAACTCTGAGAGCTTGTCCTTGAGGTTTTGATCGGATATTACCATTAGGATATTCGCCATAACCGGAATTAAGGGCCTTTTCATGACCACATCATCTATTGATTGTAAATATTGACCTCGAAAATCGAAAAAAAATTAATAAATGCATAACAAGGTCACAACTATAATAAACAGGTTTGTTGCTTCATGTTATTTGGCTTCAGCGACTGCACCAACTAGAGGTTATCCTTCAGACTGTGAATTTACGTTGCTAAAAGGTTCTGCTATTCGCATTTACTGTTTGGCTCGGTGATTTTGACGAAATAGGTCGCAAAGTAATCCGATATATGAATAAATTCGGGAGTCTATATAAGTGTGGTATCTGTGATCTACATTACTTCAGTGGTTTCGCCGTCGATCAGTCCAGAAATTCACCTNAATTCTTCTGAAACAATTTTCCGTGATGTCTGCTATCTTTCTTTTCATATTTTCAAAGTTTCAAGGGATCTTCTACCATTTTTTTCATTTTAGAAACGTAATCATGTTTTTCCAGTATAATAATAATATAATGATTGTGTTTTCATCCCCGTTGACCTTTGTCACGTGCCTGGTGACACAGATCGAAACATTTGATTTAAGTTATATTTCTCAATGACAGATAAGTTAAGGAACGCTTGCATTCTTTCCGCCTTTCATGTTACCCTTACCTCTGTTTCTTTACTTGAAGGATCATAAACAGGATCTATTCTATCTTGAGTGTTTCTCAGTTTTGACTCATTAATA